AAACAGGCCTAGAAGAAAGAAGAAATGCTGATTAAGAAAAGATGTGAGAGGAGGGGAAAATGGAAGCAAAGTGCGGAGCTGCTTGTGAGTGTGGGGGGAAAAAAAAGAAAAGAGTTCCTCAGAGTCCTCTGTCATTTATGCTTGGAAGAAAAAAAAAGAAATCACATACAGGGCCCCTGTCTCATTTCTATGGCAACCTGAAGGCTATTATCGTACCTTGCCATTCATTATGAAAGGACTTCAGTTGACAGGGAGCAAGACTTGGTGGGGAGGGAGGAGGACAGTGAGGTGCATTTTCCCTACACACTGCTGGAAAACAGAAGGAAAAGGAATGAATGAATGAAAGAAACACTCAACTACTCAGTGTAATACAGGAAAGTGCACTGACACTTACAGTAAAACTGTTTATTAATGCCAGAGATTTTCTGTTTCGACAATAAGCGACTGCATGTTCAACCTACAGTAGGGCTTTTAGTTTGCAGTTATTGGGAAATAAGACAGAGATGGGACTGATTGTATGCTGGACCTTAATTCGAGATTGTTTGGAACAACTGTTATCTGGGGATTAAATTATGTTTATGTAAATAACTGTGCTTACCTGCCCTACAGCTACAGATGTTCTGTACAATCTAGTTAACGCAAACAGGCGTGCTTAATTTGTCTATTTCAAAGCATGAAATCAGTGTTTTACAGTTCATAGAGTTAAAGGACCAGTGTGTAGGATCTAGTGGCATCTAGTGGTGAAAAGGCAGATTGCAACTAACTGAACACCGACATGGGAAAGAGAACAGGTTGTGAAGTGTGAAGGAGAAACTATGGTTGCAGTGAAAAATGTAACCGGCCCTATCGAGAGTCAGTGTTTGGTTTGTCCCTTCTGGGCTACTGTAGAAACATGGCAGACTCCATGGAAGGCGACCCGCCGTGTCTGTAGATGAAAACGGCTCATTCTAAGATAACAAAAACACGATTCCTATTTTTAGGTGATTGTATGCTAATGAAACATACCTATTAATATTATATTGTATTTCTACCAATAGATCCTCCTTAATGTTACACACTGGACCTTTAAGACTTTTCCCTGATACCATTTTGTTAAATTAATACTAAAAAATATTAAAGAAAAGCATCCAATGTGCACAAATCATCAAAACTGTTCTCTTTAAGATCATTTGGCAATCATTTCATGATTATAGTGTGAGAGAGTTGAATGTCCAACCCTCAATGTCTTCCAATACGCAGTGTCAACTTTAACTTTTGGTGAACCTGTTCACAAGGTACTAGAACACATCTGTGTAAAATAAGTTCTTATTTTTTTGTTGTATTTTTTATTAGATAACCAACTTAAAAAAACTGTAATCATTTCTGGATACCAACAAAAAGCAGAACAAGCTATTTTTTATGTTTTCGGTTAAATAAATGGATGATACATGGACCAGTTTGGTTTGGTAAATGAGCTACAGCTGCCTAAAACAGAAGGATTGCTTTTGTAAGTTTGCAAATTCATCTTTGGTCAAATTGTTTAAGTTGAGTTGAATCTCACACAGAACCTAACTCTATCTATAAACCCTAAATGTCGCTCAATACTGTATGTTTGTGATGATGTACAGAATTTTGTCTGCCAAACATGTGGCATAAATATGGCTTTTAGATTAGGTTGGATGGGGATTGGAGAAGGTACGCTACCGTCTGTTAAACACTGATGAAACTGTTATAGACCAAAACACGTTAAATAGTGCTAATGAAACAAATAATAACAAATAGCTCACCATGCTTGCAGACACATACATGTAAGGAAAAGTTGGCATGTTTTGTGAAAATACAATATATAGCAACTCTTAGTAAGTTGTGTAGTTAAATAGTTTCCAGTGCTTGGAGTAGTGCTGCTGTTGCTAACTGTGTGAGAAGAGTGAGCAGGGTTAGTGTGACAGTGCATTAGCAGCCAGAGTCCATTCTCTGCATCCCCAGAGAGACCAGAGCGGGCATATTAACATTCTCCTCAGAAGGGCCACAGGATCTGCCTTCAATGCCGTCTGAATCCAAACAAAAGACGGTGTGTGTGTGTGTATGTGTGAGACACAGAGACAGGCTGGGTGTGTGTGTGTGTGTGTGTGTGTGTGTGTGTGTGTGTGTGTGTGTGTGTGTTACTGTGTGTAAGACGAGGAGCAAAAGCAGGGAGAAGGAACGAGGGAAAAGGGCTACAGTAGGAGATGAGTTTGAGTACGTACCGCTGGCTCACGCTATGTAGAAATTCACATTAGTGTTGATTTAGATTTGAGTTTTAAAGAGACAAAGGGACACACATGTAGTCCATGAATATGAGTTAAAAATCAAGATATTATATCTTACTTTTATTTCAGTTTTTGACCAATCATAGTGATCAACATCTTTGTCAACCACTCTGACTCTGTTCAGGTTTAATATGTATTGCTTGATGAGAACAGTTGCTATGCAAACTGTAACCAAGGAATTCTTAAGCAACTCATCTTACATATATACTTATTCACGTACTGTTTCTATTTTTATTAAAGCACTTCTGTTTATGTGATGTTCTTTGAAGATTTTTCAAACCGAGCACAGAGGGTTTATTGGTTAAATACAAGGCATAATATGTGAGAGGGCCTCCTTAAATTTGATTATACAATAGATACCAGTGCTGGTGCCTGGCTGCATCACTGTCATACCCAGTAGCAACTGTAGACAATTGACTTCCTATGCATAACTCAAACATCTGGCCTTCATCATTGAGTCCCTGAAATCTTTCTACATTCCATGTGCAAACTGCACAGTGTCAGGCAATGTATGTCTTCTCTGCTGCAGTGAAGATAATTCACTATCCTTTTTCCTCTAACTCATTACTACAATGTGACAGCAGCTCTTTACAGTAACAGCAAGAGTAAGGATAGCAACTACTAATTAATTTGATAACCGATAGCTTGCTGTACTTTTTATGTGATTCATTCACACTGCTGGAACATGTCAGTGATGCTCAGATAGCTGCTCAGACTATAGTTTATTCCTCCATGTTTTACCTGCTCTGCTTCATAACCAAGGGCGCGTTTAGACGGCAGACTAAAGTGACCAAAAATCTGATGTTTTTGGTCATCTGATTTTTTCATGACAGTGTGAACAGCACAAATCACATCGAATCTGATCTGCTGAATTCTGATTTGGGCCACTTTAATAAGTGGTCCAAATCAGATACAGGTCAGATTTTTTGCAATGTGACCTCAGTGTGAACAGTCATATCAGAATTCATGTAACTTTTACCTCACTCCAGATCAACTTCAGGACCATGACCTGTTCACACTGGTATCTGACCACTGGCCACATTCAAGAAATAATGTGAACAGTTAAATAAAAAACATCTGAGCAATAAATAAAAATTGAGCGGTAAGGCTTGCAGTGTGCAACATAGCCAAAACCTCAGTTTTATTATTAATTATGAGGAGAAATTGATATATTGTACAGTCTGGTCATAAAAAGAAACATACATGTTTAAGACAAATAAAACACAATTACACAAAAGTCACAACTACATCAGAGTCTACTAGTGTTGGGCGATATACCAGATTAATCGGTATAGCTGTTTTAATTTCTTGTTAAAGGTATAGGAATTAGCTGAAGTAACTATTTAACTTTTCAGCAAAATATATAGGAATGTTCACCAACAGATGGTCGTGGCTAGAGCTGTACAATAAGATTTTAAAAAATCCTATAATGATTATTTTGATAGATATTATGATGGCGATATGATTCACGATTAGCGGGAATAATCCCTTTTGCATCACAACTTCCCTTTTTGACAGAAAAAAATGTAAACTATTTGTTGGGTTAGGGGATTTGTAGAACAAGGCATCTCTGCACCACTTCATGCTTATAATGCTGTTTTGTCACATATTTTACCTTTATCACATATATATAGATATATAGATATAGACAGCGATTTAGATAATATACTGATTAATTGTGCAGCCCTAGTTGGGACAAACTGTAACATCAGCAGCATTTTATGTCAGTTTAGTGTTTACTATTTGAAAAGGAAGCAGTGTTCAAATTGTTGGCAACTTATTTTTAAATGCTGCTTTTACTAGGTTGCAGTTTGCAGAATAAAAATCCCCCCACATTTTGTACCATTTTGTGGGGCCAAGAAAACCATATAGTGGTCAAAGCCTTCAGTATATACATGATGACATTAAAATGCTTTTACATTATATGTACTGACAGTAGAATAAGCCACTATAAACCTATATAAATGTCCAATCATTAAAAAATTAAATAAACATTATGTGGTATAACGTGTCACCACCACAAAAATATTGGGATACAAATTGTTAGTCATATTGCCCAGCAATAGTCGACATATGATAAATTACAGGGAGTACGCCTCATAGACAAAACTGTACTGCTTTTCACAAACGTGACAATATACAGGAAAAACAATAGAGCAATTAAAAATACAAAACAGCACTAAGCTGCAATACTGTAATATATCAATAATAAATGTTAAAAATGTGTAATTGTGCATCAGGCTTCAGTACAACGGGTAAGTTTCCTTTCACTAAAGAACAACTCTACAGCCCTGCTAGCAGCTCTATGAGGCTGTATTTAAAGTACACACAGCATTGCTTTGATTTAAATGCTAACAGTAAACATTAGCTTAGCATGATAGCATGCTAATATTTTCTGATTAGCACTAAACACAAAATATAGCTGAGGTTGATGGGAATTTTATTAGTTTTGCAGGTATTCACTGATAAACTAAAGTACTGAACAAATTGAAATTTGAACCTGATGATCGTACTAGATGAAAAGTTAAGGGATCTCCAAAGGATATGAACGTCTGCACCAATCCATTCAGTGTAGTTGTTGAGACATTTACCTTAAAACCACAAGTGTCAAACTCACGGTGGCGCTGGAGGAAAAATCTGGGTATGTTGTGTTAGAGCCAAAACCCTCTAACAGAAATGGAGATATTTCACTGGATTAGTGGAAACGTTTACCTGCTGGTGGCGCTAGGTGAAAAGTTAAGGGAACACCAGAGTCATTAGGATTCATCCTCTGGGCAGCATGGATATCTGTAAAAAAAAAAAAAAAAAGTAGCAAAAATTCCTGAGATATTTCCGTCTGGACCAAAGCAGTGGGCCGACAGGCTGACATTATCGTCCCTAAAAACAGGTGACCCAAAAATAACGGCAGAAAATAGATCTTATGTAATATAGAAAATAGATATGAGTTTTTCTAAACCCGCTACCTTTATTTTTGCTGAACAACACCTGCTTCTACAATTTGGGAATAGAGTTATCAGTTTCAGACATATCACATATTTTAAGCATATGTTTGTGTATAGTGATATCAGGAATTACTTAAATTCTGGCCTTTATTTCCTGCTTTCTCTTGAACCGTATTAGATTAAATATGATCAATGTTTTCATAATTCTAGTAGCTGTGACTGAGAGAGAGGGCTGCCTCCACTGACCTTAAAAGGCCAACGTCAGATAAAAGCTGACAACATTTTAACCCTGTAGTAAAGCAGTGCATGTATGTCCAGAGACTCAAAAATAAAACTGGCAACCTGAGATGTATGGATGTATTCTCGAGGGGCAGTTTGTTTTCTTCATACTCTTTATGATTGCATTAGTTCAGTTTCTTCTTGGCAGAATGTCTGAGAAGATCGAAAACCTTCTGAACTCACTGCCGTGTCACCCCTCCTACTCATATCCACTTGCTTTGCACCAAAGCACAGTTCAATACACAATTACCATTTCCAGACTGTAAGCTGAAATACACTTTCTGAATTTGTACCCTTTGCTTTAATAAATGTGTTTTTTTCACCTGTATCTGATTCTGTTGAGACAAGTGCAATGTAACATGTAGTGCCTTTGAAGTACTACAAAATACTTTACAGTGACAAGTACAGCTAGAACGCAGACATTTGTGAATAATTTATAGCACTTTATCTATACAATCTAATTATGTCCAGACTTGTTCTGTGAAAATCATGTGTTTGGAGTGAATGTGAGCATGTGTGAAGCAGTCATTTTATGATGGAAGTCTGCTCTGGGCACATATGGTCAAAAAGCAAATTTTCTGCCAAACACAGTTAGAATGAGGACTTTCTTACCACTGCTCAATTTCTCTCTCTCTCTCTCACTCTCTAACATAGACACAGGCTCTCTCTCTCTCTCTCTCTCACACACACACACACACACACACACACACTCAACATACACTGGGCTTCATAAACAGAAACGTCTGCAGAATCAGGGAAAAATTGACATGCATATTACCTTTAAAAAAAATAAATCATATCTTGCAAAAAGGAGATGTCACTTTTTTATAACATAAATGTATATATTAGTAAAATAACAACACCTTTTTGGCTAAATTGTGTTATTGTTCCGTTTAACTGTGTTGTTTATGGTGTGATCTACTTAAGATCAGAGTTTTTACGTTATTTTGGTGACAGTACAGTACGGTTTTGATCATGGCTTTGCTACCCAGACACACACAGACTGCATTTGGATATATCTTACCTATGACATACTTTCTTTTTGTACTTATAAGTATACATTTGCAGAGATTGTGTCTGCACTGCCAACCACTCAGGTATAACGACACCTAAAAGTTCCAGGTGTGTGCAGCGATAAAATCCGTCCATTAGCTGGGTTCAGGGGCGTGTTGTGATAAAGCCTTGCAGAGGCTGGGTTGGCACGGAACAAAACAACAGTGGCAGGAGAGAGACGCTGGCAAACACTTGAGGCTGGGTTCGGCGATTTGGTTTGAATGCAGCAGAGGCAGGCAGACCGTCAGCACAAGCAGTAACAAGATGGCGGCGGTCTGCAGCAGAGATTGTAGTAAGCTCTGTCCAGGGAGAAAAGAGACAGAAAGCCAGAAGCATAACCTGCTCAGGGCACCTAGGTGCCAAGTATCACAGTGATTTGGAGCCAGTCCCATCCACAGGGTGGGGCGGGCAGTGTGGAGCCAGCACCCACAGGAGCACCGATAGGTGAAGGGGGCGCGAGAACAATGGAATGGCTGCCTCCCAGACAGAGCTGCCGTACTGCAGTGATAAGGGAACAGGAAGGAGGGGGGATGGGGGGTTGGCGGCACAGGAGGTAGACACACCTGCTCCTGCCGTCGGAGCAACAGCAGCTACTGTAACTAGCAGCAGACAGGAAAAGACTGAGCTGGATTCAAACGGGAGTCCAGCCTCTCTCCTCCAGTGATCAGAGGGCATCTCAGGACTCTGTGAGAGAGTGAGTGAGATCACAGCACAGGGGAAGAGCTGGAAATGACAGATGAAGGAAAGCTGACAAAACCATACTCACTGACATATGCTGCACACTCACAGAACAGATGTGTTTATTCAAGCATTTTGGCATCAAAAATATGAAATAAAAAAACCCTTAAATGTTGAGGTTTGCTCCCAGTGTAAGAAATAGAATATCACAGTATTCAAATGTATTTCAACTCCAGGCCATGTTACCTGCTGTTACAGTATCAAGCTTTCTCATCAAATTTTAAACAGACTTAAAATATTGCAGCTACAACATTTCTTACATTACGTCATTAATCGGTGAGTCTTCAGCTGACAGCCATAAAGAACCATACATACATTGCTCAGCAGTAAATGTATCTAAGATAACATATACTGTAGGCAAACATAATAAGAATTGTGTAATAAATTCCTAAAAATGGAAGCATAACATCTGTTTGCTTGCAACCTTTATTTATACTCGAGAGATCATTGATCTCATCATTGCTTACTGTCAGTCACTTGTACCAATATTTGCTTTTTTCGTTGTCAATTAGTTTCCACCAGTGTAGGTCCAGCTGTGTGCATTATACCTGCATGCACAGTTTAACACTGTAAGAGAAAAACATTAACACCAAACAAGTTGTCAGTGAGAGATCTGTAGTCCTCTCAATGGTCGGCCATTTTACATAGTTGTAAAAAAAAAAAAATCTAGCAGAAGCCGAGGGGCAAGGCTGCGGTGGGAGGTCTCAATAATGTGGCACATGTACACACAGTGATGGAAGTACAGTGTGAATGCTTGAGCTGCACACATGGAAGTTAACTGCTTTTATTTTACTCACAGTCATTAACTTTTTTTGTCAGAGTGGAGGATGACATTTCAAAACCAAACAGAAATCATATCTGCAGCCACTCTACAAATATTCACTGTTTCTTGTTCATTTCCTCTTCCTTGCTGGATGTACTCTTTTACTGCATGTTTTTGCTGAACAAGGCAAACACTGACACCATGACCTACTGGTGCAGACACGCTGCTTCAAGTAGGAAACCCAGCTGAACTGAGACGACATCACATGACTACATTAACATTGTACCACCAAATACCGGTATGTAAAAAAAAAAAACAACAAGACATTTTGTACTTTGTATGTAGTCACAAGTGTTGTGAAATGTTTTCACTGATTCTCTTTAAGATGCATATCTCAAAGACAGTAATACAATAACAGACATCTAACCCCTACAGCTAAAACATCGCAATATGCATCACATGGAGCTAGCAAGCAGCAGCAGCAGCCAAGTATTTCCGATCATAGCAATGATAGATCAAGCCGTGCAAAAATATCAGACATTCTACAGAAAGTACCGTACAGAATAGTTATTTGTCTATTGTTAAACTCTGCTGCAGGATTAGGGTTAGAGTTACAGTAATATATATATGCTTGTTTACTCTTATAGAAATTTGCCTAACCTGCATTACATACTGTTGGAGTCCTTCTGAGGAAACCTTTCTTACAGCTGCATCCTTTCACATAGTAAACTGAAACCAGGCCGGGGAGCAAAACTCCCAATAAGATATGAAGTGCGTGACAATGCGAATGAGCTGCAGATTCACAGAAGTCATTGCTCATTAGAAGCGTTTGACCACATAGTAAAAATGCCTATTTAATGAATCCCGAAATTCCTTAAGCATGGGGGGATTGTACCAAAAATGTCAGCTGTTTCTTCAACCGTTCAATCTGACATTGTTAAAAAATGCCTTCAAATCAAAGCTGAAAATAGAATCCGAGCACAAAGCTACCTATCCTTCAGCCACATAATCGCTGCATCACATCCCATCCAAACTAATGAAAGAATGAGGACAAAACATCAAACAGTATCGCTGTTCAAATGCTGCTGAAGCTCCCTAAAAAGACGAAGCGACTTCAGAGTGGCTGACGAAGAAGGAGACATGTAAAGGGTTACATACTGTAGGTGTGGATAAAGGGAGGGGAGAGCTAGAAATGAAGCTGTTACTGTGATCACAGATCACCAACCAATTATAGAAACAGACATTTGCCTCCAGACACATTTCAACACACTGACACAGTAGTTTTTGGAGAACTGTAAGCACTGAGACTCACACAGAGTACTGCATCAAAACCTGGACTGAATACGGTCTCACTCATTCCACCTCCAATAACATCCATTAAAACACAATATACACTATAATGGCTTTTTACTGCAATTTCGCAACTCACTACAATCTTGCTTTCATCCATAGTTTAATGACTTGGCACCCATGTGGGTGGCACCCTGCTGCATACAAGTACAAGTATCCTACCATTCTCAACCAGCCATGCCTTAAGTTCTTCAATTCACGTGTAATAAACAAAGACGAAAAGGTGCAGGTATAGAAAAAAAAAGATGATAATTTTCATGAGGTCAAACACAAGTGTACTGAGCTTTCAGTGCCACGCTCTCACCAGTACTTTGTGCTGCTCTCAAGATAAGGCATGAAGAGCCCATAGACAGCTTGAGAAGTGGAAAAAAGAAGAGTCATGATGAATTTGTGACCTTCGTCTCTTATATGATATATAGTAAATTAAACCACAGAATACCATTACATTCAAAAAGTGATTTGCACTGTGTAGCCCTAGCAATATCATGTGCTTAATGTTTTTCTGCTGCATATAAATGAAAAAAAATTCTGATATTGTGAGTGTGTTTCTGTAAATGTATGACTGAGTGTCTATGCAGTATACACAGGACAGTGTGTCTACAACTACAGAATGAGTGAGGTCCTTGTGCTGTTCGTTTATATTAGCATGTGTAACATTAGTCACTGTGGGTGTAACCCTAGTCACAAATTCCTCATTCATTCATTGTACCTGCCCTAAAAAACGAGAATACCGTAAATGTGACAGCGTTTCGCCATATCACCCCACCTTGTCTGGACATCCCTCCATCCCAGTCACATGTCCTTCATACCGACATTCCTCTATCCATCTACCCCTGTCCCCCACCCAACGCCCCACATGCTGTGCCTGCTTCTGGGTCTAAACCCCTCCATATTCTGAAAGAATCCCAATGTTCTTCCTTTTAGTTCCCCTCTATCTCTATTTTCGCTGTGTGGGTGGATCAAATGAACATTCCCTGTCACCGTGCCTAGCTAAAAAAGTGAAGCCGTCCCTTTTTCGCTGCGCTTTGTGTCTTTCCGCCATGTTTGTCTTTTCCTTTTTTTTGCTTTAGGTTACAGAGATGTGTGAGTGCCCCTCGCAGCTCCCAAGAACCCAACCCGTGCACATCACAGCAAAACGTCACAAGTTAGGGTCTCAGGGAATGAGAGAGGTACAGATTGCTTTTTGTCTGGCCTTTCCTATGCGACATACAGTAGATCATCTGCTGCAAGAGCGCTATGGCTGAGGCTGGAGAAGACAATGGCAGCTTCCTCTCTCCCTGGCTTTGTGCTGTGCTGTACCCTGAGTCTCAGTTTTGACACTAAGTCCAGTGTGGTCTCGGTAAGTCGGCGTCCGCACGAAACCACAGCACATGCATCAGTTCATCCATCCAACACTTTTATACTGTAAGACAATAAGTATCGTGGTATTCTGCGCATGAGTCAAATACCGATACACCCCGTAAATCACAATCACATCATACATAAAGACTCTAATACAAACCACCACATATCATCTTCCTGCAAGTGAACACACACATACTGTACGCACTTGTACTATATTCACCAGTGAATGGCTATACACACCCAGACAGACAGCACTTTATTATCACATGATGTTCATAAGAATGGCTCTGCCTCAGCATATTTTGGCCTCCCTGTCGCTGCCACAGCCTGGCTCAGCCGAACCATGTTATGATAATCTTTGATTTTTCACTTAAATACCAAAATCCTGCACCGTGCACATGCGCAGCAGCACCAGTCAGACAACGAGGACAGCAGCAGAGACCGAAAATATACTGCCAGGTTCTCACTCAGATAAAAATCACTCCCCATTACAAAAAAATCCAAAGCTCCTTACCACTTCCATTCTCCCTATGAGATATCCAATCTCCAGACACGCCAGGCTTGTCAGTCCTCTGAGACCGCACCTGTCAATCATGCGGCTCTGACTTTATGGAGGGAAAGCTCATTCGTCAGGTAGACGGAATGAGATCTGACTGCCCGAAAGAGATGAAGAGAAAGGGAGGAATAGGAACGTTGGGAGGGTGATGAGACGAGATGCGAGGAAGGAGAGAGATCAGAGGAGGGAAAGAAAACTCACCCAGCTGACTGGTTGCGAGGTTGCCGCAGTCCTCTCTGTGTGTCTGCGCCGGTCAGCCGAGCTGAGGAACAGAGGGGGGGAGGATGTGGCCAGACAAAATGGAAAGAGAGAGATCTGTGAGAAAAAAAGAAAGCTGGAGGGAGAAGTAGAGGAAGAGATTTTAGTGCTCCTACCTCAGGCTTTGTTGAATGGATTACTCGGACTAGTACATGAGGCTGCTGTAGCAGATTGCTGCTGTCTAGCCGTCTGCTGCTCAGACATGCAAGACTATACCATGTGCAGCCAGAGAGAGAGAGAGAGAGAGAGAGAGAGAGGGATACAGAGAGAGAGAGAGAGAGAGAGAGAGAGATGAAAGGGAGGGCAGGTGTGGGGTTAAAGGGTTAAAGTAGGTGAACAAGAAATATAGCTGAGATTTGTTTAAATAGAAAGGTAGTAAGAATGACTGACTACAGTACATTTAAAAACTATGGAGAAAGAAGCCTCTATATAAAGCAGCAACAGATAATGTAGACAATATAAGCTAAATCTATTCTTTAAATGCCTTTACAAAATAAGAATACAGGAGCATGCATTTTAACAGGCACCAGCAGAAAAATAGCACAAACAAGGGGGAAAAAAAGAACAGATCAATGGGCCTGTATCGCTACACGCTTATTAGTACAGGAGAGCGAGAACAAATGAGAAACAGAATGAGAAAGAGAGACAGGATTGAAAGAGAGGAAGAGATAAGATAAGGTAAGTTATGTTAAGATACGTAACTGATTACTTGAATAAAAAGAAAGCTAATGCAAATGACCAGGACACATGCATACCGCATACGATCCATTAAAGTCTACATGTGCCCACCATCTCAGCATTCCCTACATTTTCCATATAAGCACAGTTTTACATCAGAAAAAACAACAAAAAACAAACGGATGTTCTTGTTATCGTCTGCATTTTGCAGATATGCTTAATAGCTATGGAAATAGGCTCAGACAGAGAGCGCCAAAACAGCCACAGCAGTGAATAATAGGAAAAAATGTGTAACGCCTGTTGCTGGAGTGCCTCTACCCGCTGCTACTCACCCATCTTTCTCCATGTGACACTACTACCCATCTTATTCTTGCCCTGTTGCCACATTTTTTTTTCTGCTCTTGGTCGGCGCTTTAGTCTCACTGTATCACACCTCTGTCTGTGCCTCTGTATTTTCTTTCCCTCCTCTGCCTTGCATGCTTCATGGATTGCAGGCTCAAGTCCCCAGGGCAGAGAAACTGTAGAGTCTCTGCTTGCCCCTCTGCCTGATACATACAGCACCGGAACAGCAGTAGCAGAGCGGTGAAAGAGAAATAAATATCATCCATTAATTTCCCCTCACAGCTGAAATCACAGACTCTAAAGGCCTGCTATATACAGAGAAGGAGAGATAAGGAATGGTAGAGAGGGAGGGAAAAAGTGGTAAAGAGAACAAGCACACAGTAGCAGAGAGAAAGAAAGAAGGCAAAGATAGGCAATCACATTTTTGTCTTACAATGTCTCTTTTCAAGCTCCTTTTCATTTAAGAAAAGAAAAGAAAAAAAATCCCTCTTCAGTCGGCAAGTCCGGTATTCTGTTCCTGTCTCTCTCTCTCTCCCTCTGTGTCTGCGAGAGTGACTGGGTATTACAGCGTGCGTTTCATGGAGAAAAGGGTGGGAACAAGACTGAAAGAGAAAAGGAGGGTGCAACGAAGAGAATACGCACAGGTTTAGGGAGCGGTAAAAGGAAATGTAACTGGAAGCCTGGTGGTGTGGTAGTCTTATATTTTATCAGTATTAGCAGAAAAGACTTGTGAAAAAGGACGGGTGACAAGATGGTAAGAAAGCGAGACAAATGGGGAGGTAGGGGAATTACCAGAACAGGGTTCCTCTGACAGACAACACACAATGGGCTGAGATCAGTGACAGCAGAAAAATGGCCGGTGTGGTCCCACACTACCGCCCTCTTTATATCTACTGGTTTAAATGGATTTCTTTGAGAGGGTATTATCTCTCATTTCAAGGGCAATTAAAAAACAATCAAAGTTCTCACTCCATATACATTTTTCATTAAAAGCAAATGCATCTCTCTGGGTCACAGACATCACATGCTGTGGTGTCTCAACACATCACATGCACCTCAGAGCAGTAAAGGGGGCGTTCATATAATCTCACTTTTACATAGTGCTTCCACTTCCTCTCCAGCGACGCTGACGTTTCGAGTCGGCCACACACAGAACTAACATTAGAACAGCTAAACGGGACTATTTATAGAAATTTTCAATGAAGGCAAAAACCTACACTTACATTCCACAAGGAGGGCGGGGTGTGTGTGCTGGAGGGGGTCACTAGGGAAAGCTCCTGTATGCCTCCTGCTGTATACTGTAACACACTACCCCATGTCCACAACAAAACATCTCACACAGACAGGGATGCAAATGAAAAACACTCATTCCAGGAAAAAAACAGACTAAGCGAGGTTATTATGCACTGAGAAAAAAAACACACAACAGTGTCATGTTGTATCTACTGTAACTGACTGCTCGTACTGCAGAAGCTGCCCCTGTACCAGGGGCCCCCGCTTTATTCTGACCCACAGAGCTCCCTACTTCGAACCGGGTGGCCTTGGACAGAGAGCGAAAAGTTTAAGTGGAAACAGTCTTTCATCATCATACCACCCAATGCTCTACATATCTGCCCATAGCAGCACACTGCACTATGGGGATGCCATTTCTCCCTCACAAGACTGCATCCACTGTCAGGTTTTATTTATTAGACTAGGAACATAATTTCATGGCAGTAAAAGTACAAGATGTAGCAGGATTAATTAATGTTCACAAAACCTACGACAGTTCAGTCCTAAAAGTTACGGCAAATTGCTCATAGTGATTTATTTGTATGTCACATTCAGTGTCTGTTGATAGAAGCTCATAACTGAAATTCCAGCACGTTTAGAAAATGTAATCTCCAACAGAGATCAAAACTATTCAGCTAAAATATGACTGTGAAGTGCAGCTAAAACTCACATGGTTTGTGACAAAGTATAAGTTATTCATTTGAATATTCCTTAAATAAAGTAATAAAACTGTATTTTACATTGCTGTCAGGGACCAAGATGACTTCAGGGGTCTGTGGTTTTCTTGGTTTGAAGCAGTTAAAGTTGTTTCTGGCTGTTTTGATCACAGCACTGTCTTTACCACATAGTTGTGCAGAGGAAATATAACGTTTTGGTTAAGTGAAACTGAACTTTGTACATAATTGGCTGCCAAGTCCATGTTCTTCCCCCTGCGGCTGTATGGTGTTTCCCTTCAGTGGCATCTCTTTCATTAGAGCGGCCCACAGACCTCGCTGCTGCAGCAACATGCTGGTGCTGTTCCCCAAACTCTCAAACGTTTTCCTCCTCGTTGCCTTCTGCTCTATGATTGTTTTAATTTTGTCTTCCTGCCATAATAATATTATGAGAGGCAATTTTTGCCATGTTCATGTTAGTCTGTTCAACACATATTTTTACATCTTCGCATGCCCTATAAATAAAATGTAAAACAAAGGAAATAAAATTGTGAAAATTCAAAATCAATATGTTAGGGCCAGGTACGAAACCACCTGATAAGAAGACAATGTATTTACAACCAACTGATAAACCCAGTGCCCAGTCTAATATTGCACAAAAGTTAGTGTTTGGTAAAATAATCCATCAGTGTCCAGAGTGTGTGGTGTTTCCTCAGGGAAAGCTAGGAGGCTGTACAGTTATCTCCTGTGGTGTCACTCTGAACTATACAACCTACTACCTCAACCTGCGGAACACTTGAGGAAACTGCAGGATGGCTGCTTTGTAGGAGTGAAATCTGTCAGGGTAAATGTAGTTTTATAGCATTCTGTGATATCAAACTAGATCATGATATACACTGCTTTTATGACATCTGGAATTTTTAAAGAAAATGTAAGAAACAGTCTGTAGACAAAATAACCAGATGGGAATGTCTGTTTCCTGCTAATCCATCAAATACTTGACAAAATCACTTTTATGCAAACATTCTGTAAAGCCAATATTGCTATGAAGCAGTCCTGCAGCACTGACCCAATGGCCTAATTCAGCCCGAAATATTAAAGGGATCTTTATAATGTCATAGTCCAACCCTCGTACTTTGGGTGGGGTCACTGCGTAAAGACGGGACACGTGGGATAAGTTTGGTAGAGTGTCCTGACAAAGTCGCCGTTGTTCAGTCGTGTAAACACAGGTTAAGAGAGCTTGGTGTTATAAATGACTTACTGTACAGATAAGACTGTAATGGAGTCAGACAAGCCCCATCTTTTAAGCTATCTTGTCAAAACCTGGTTTAAAGATAATTTCATTAAGCTAGTGGTTTTTCTTACAGGCATAGGTCAGGTGCCGTATTTGCCAGGAAGACACATACCTATAGATACGAGCTTGTGCAGCCAGTCACCACAAGTTCGGATCTACGGGTTTGTGGCAGCTGGCATTACCCCTTCAAGAGCAAATAAGGAAGACGAAACTCAGGAAACATGGAATCAGCAAGTCAATCCGCTATCTGAACCTGTAAACTGCACTCATACAACATCTATACATCTACATCGTATATCTTCCATTGTATGTTAGAAGGTTTAGAAGTTCAGTCTATTTTAACTTTTACCTTGTAATATCTGCGGAATAAATCCTTTTTGATAGTGCGGAAAAAAACTGTTCATGGCAGTAAACTGTTTCTTTTATGTATTTTTCATTCATATTTGATTAGACCTTTTCTGTGTGGCAATAAAAGATATTTCCTGTTTGTGTATCTATAGAGTACAGCTTTGAAATTAAGCCATGGTACAATGAACAGGCCAGAGCACATGACTGTGAGATGGACGTGGTGTTTGTGTAACCTACTGATCACATTCTTCTGAGGTCAACATTTATTTTTGAAATGTCAGACAGAATAATACTGTATGTTCTTTTATATGTGGACATAAAAACATGAAATTCCAGCTAAATGTGAAAATAAAATTCTGCTGTACAGTGCTGAGTTTTTTTATGAAATACCACAATATGAATAAAATGTCAGAAGAACACTACGAGAGCATTTGTATTCTTCAGTCCAAGTATGACTACAATAGTCAACACACAACATCCTCTAGGTAAATATTAAGAGAGAAAAAACAAGATTGTGAAATCATATTAAATCGCACCTGCACAGAACACAAAATATTACAACCAGTTTTAATTTTGAAAAGAAAACTGGTAGTTTATAAATGCCTGCATTTGTCTGATAAACTATGCATTTCCATGACCTTACTGTCTGCCATAAACAACATCAAAAAACAAATCATCAGGTACACAGCATATGGTGCGGATTACAAACTAAACTGAACCAAGCTAACAGAAAGAAAACTATAAGTATTATAAATCGCCAACATACCGGTAGGGCACACGAGTCCTCTGGAATCAGATGGAGTCAGGCTTGAGGAGTAGTGTAGGCCAATGTTTCAGTATAAATCAAAAAACCTATAAAAACAGAACAAATCATCAGACACAGACTGTTAACAGAACTGAAAGTCTAACGTTAACAGATAAGATCCTCATGCACACAAATTCCTAAAAACACACACTTACAAACACGTGGTAGTCCAAGCACACCCTTAAAACACATAAAAGATAAAAAAAAACTACAAGCACTACAACAACAATTCAATAACAGTAACAGTAAAAAAAAAAAAAAAAAAAACGGAAAATAACAAGGAAAAGTAAGAAGATAACATCCCCTCGTTCTCTCCCTGTTACGCCCTCCTAACCCGTTGTCCAGTGCCCATTTTCCGGGGTACAAAAACCTCAAATCGCCTTTAAAAAAAGGTACGGCAAGAGAGAAATGGCAAAAGGTTGAATGCGGTAAGATGTGGACGAGGAGGAGTCGCAGCGCAGGGCTGGCTACAGAAAAAGTGGAATTTGTGACCAAGCAAAGGAAAGGGTGGTGTTGTTTTTTTTTTTTTTTTTTTGGTGCTTCATTCTGCTTGGCTTTTTTGGATCCCAGCAGGATCCTTGGCTGCAGCTCTGTCTCTTCTTAGTGGTGCCAAAATTTGGACATATTCCTTTGTCTTACACTCTGTTGCATAAAATCAAATTGAGAGATGAGAAAAGATATAACTTAAAAGAGACAAGGGGAAAGGACCAGCCAACAAAACTGCAGCGCAAGTTATTAAAGAAAAGGACACAGCATGAGTGAAAGTGCACAGCAAAGAGGAGAGAGGCTTAGCAGCTGAATGCAAGGGAAACAAAAATTCATAAAAAAAAAAAAGTCAAGATGGAAGAAGGCTCTTTCGCGTCTGAATTTTTTTTCTCTGCAAACATATTATCTCCAAAGTGCGAGCTGCAAAATGTTTCTTCTCTGCTGCTACAACACAGCAGCCGAAGCCTTTCCAAAGCTTTGCCACGTAGTGAGAGAGGGAGAGAGAAAGCAGCCACTTTTTCCTCTCTCCAAAATGGCTGAGGGCCGGGGGAAAGCAGCTATGAGCAGAGAGGAAGAGTGGTGCTCCCCGTCCTGCTCAGGGGAGGGCTGGGCGATTCAGCGAGCATCTCTCCCTCGTTTCCCTCTCCTCACTCATGCCCTTTGTCCCATTAGCCGTCTTTCAGACCGGACGAATGGTGTACAGCTGTGTTGTCAGTCCATGAGAAACTCTACTTGGCCCACCATGCAGGGGAAGGCTACGACTGTAAACGAGTAAGGCTGATATGGCTTATTGTGTGTCTCCCACATGCCCACATCCTGATGCTACACACTGTTGTCCGTGTTACTGTGTCTCCCTTCTGATGCTTCATGTTCTTTTTTTAATGTCTCCTGAATGCCTTACAGGACACGTGACTCATGTTTGATCCCTGTATATTTTCTGTTTGTAAAAGGAAAAAAAAAAACCAGGAGTGATTGTAGGATTACTTTATTATCTTTGTGTGGTTGTGGTTATTATTTTCAGCATTGCATGCCAACATCCTAATTCCAAATTTTCTTCTGACCATTTCTTCACTCTGTGTCTTGTTTTTTCAGTACATAATGTCCTCCCCTTGCATAGCAGTATAGTCCTCAATAATGATTTTGACAGTAGTTTATATATAAAACTACTCTGTCTAAATCATTCAAAAATGCTTAACATGAACGCTGATTTACTTGGACTAGTGGACTCCTCTCGTCTTTTTTGCAGTTCTTAACCTCTGCACTACTTTTGACATCACAACAGTACAGTATGTATGCCCAGAGTGCTGCAGTCAATAGTACTACATCCTCATCAGCGCATTTCTAGTGGAGTATCTCAAGGCTCTATCCACAGCCCGATTCTGTTCATTGTCTCTTTGTGACTGCGTGTAACTGAAAATTTAAGCTTGTGAAAAAAATGAAATTGAGCTCAGAATATGTGCTATTGCTACGTTGACACATCATTGATTATTAGAGCTATGTGGTGCTTCAGCTCTCATGCTACTACATTAATTCAACAACAAAAAGGAACAACTGGCATTATTATACTTCACAAAGAATTTTATTTTCTAAATTTCCTATTAAATAAAGAAATGATGCAACTGAATAAGATTATTTTATGTGAGCCCAGTTTTTCCCATAAGAAATCCCAAGGGTGGGGAAAATCCGTTTCCATACACTTGATCTTGTTGTTCTTCCTTTACAGCAATAGGCTTTCTGTTTTAAACAGAGCAGTGCTTGTTTCGTGAAGAATATATAATGTGGGTGTCCACTGCTTTCACACGAAACACTACTCATTTACAAAATATTTCCATCCTACATCTGAGAAAATTAACCCACTGGTGAGGTAAGCTGCACTAACATTGGACATTTCAGATTCTGAAGTTCTACACTCGCAGACTACAGGAGTTTTGGGTCGATTTACCTCCCTACAATAGGAGAAGAAATATGGTCCAGCCCAGATTATCCTGTAATGTGAGGGGTTTACAGGATCCGGTCTTAAACCTCCTGAGCGGCTCGCAGACTCATCAGGGGTCCCCCGATAATTTTCAAACGTGTTTGTTATTCAGGAGTTAAAATCGGGATGATTACGTTGGTAGGAAAGTGAATGAGAGGTGTGGCCAAGCAGTGGTAAACAATTTATCCCTTGCGGCAAACATTAGCTAGCATACTACTGTTGACAGATATTAAAACTGACACTCTCACCTCTAGTTCTTGCTGAAGAATAGATAACCTGTGCTGACCCCATCTCCTTAACCATTTTCTCATCCAGGCTCATTTAGCCTTCTGCTTTTGTTATTCCGAAGCACTAACGTTACTACAGCAAGGTGTTCCGCTACATTAGTCTGTTTATATCTGCTACCCCAGTAGATCACATGCGGAGGTGCATTGCTCCCTATGGCACGATTATCTTAATAATATCCTGTAGTGTGTGATGCACCATTATTTTCACATCTTGTTGTGAATGCATGTTTGAGATTAGAAAACCTGTGAAGTTTCTCCTTCTGTGCGTAAAGCAACCCGATTTTAAAATGGGTTAGGATTTTAATACTCCTGTAGTCCTGAGCCCAGCTTTAGACTATATTCACGTAAGCCAAATACCAGTAAGCAGCCCCACCTACTAAAGTGTCCTTAAGCAAGACATGTTAACCCCCATCAGGGTGCTGCCCTAACTGGCCCAGACTTGCGACTTCTGGAAGAAGAAAAAAACTAATCAGCAATTTATAAGCAGTAACAAATTGCACATTTATATTATTTATTTTATTTAAATACAAGAACCGCGTTAACACACAGACTCACCCATCAGCTTGCTAGTGTTATGAAAAAGGACAAATGTTGAGTTCAGGATATTAAGTGCCCTGAATACTAGTTTTGCCACAGCATGCCAATGGGCTGCTGTCTGCTCCATGGTCACCACTTGAATCTAAATGAACAGATTTGACTTTCAGGATATTGCCAAGAACCCTGTCACAGTGCCGACACAGAAAAGGGCCTCTCCAAAACAGAAGGTTGAAGAAAACAGAGCGGCCGACATGGGCATATCCCCAAACCTCTAACAAGGTAACCCCTTAAAGCCACTCTCAGAGCCTGGGAAAGTGGGGAAGAGAAAGTGGGCCGCTAATAGTGGGAAAAACTCATTAACACATTTTTTTAATACAGTAACATAACGTCAGAAAAATCTGTGACAATCGAGCAGAAGAATTCAGGCTTGCGTTATATAGATTAACATTGTATGTGATTGCTTTAGTTAGTTTTTGTGAGTTGTTTAATATCTTCTCACTCTATTTGTCCTCATTACTGTCCATCTTTGGCATGTACAAGCTGCAGCCACGGTTTCACAGTGACATCTCCCCAACTTTAAAAATTGATTCTTCCTCTCCTTTCCCCTCTCTCTGTGTAAATTCCTGCGAACACGACATTAACTTATAATGTATGCTCTGATAAAACTTTAGCATGTTTATCTGACATGGACAAAATAAAAAGATGAAATTGCTATTAGTCAACTTTGTCCTGGAAATCTGTGTGTGCTACCTTTTAAGACTTTGGGTGTTCATCCAGAGTTTAACAATGAAACTTAGGACTGGTTTAGCACCACAAACAAAATACTGGGAAGGCGTATCCTCTTTAAGATCTAACTAATAATTTACTTAGTGATTTACTAGTGTCCAAGTGAAAGATTTATTACTGCAGTGTCACCAGCGCAGTTGCTGGCAGAGAAATGAGATGTTAACTCCGCCCAGCAGTGTGGTGAAAATCTCTGCTTCAATTTTGCCTTAAATTTTGCATCTGAGAGCTACCTTTAATAAAGGACGACTTAAGAAATCCGCCCAACGCCTTTTCATCTGAGGAATGTGTAAGTGACATGCTAGGAATAGTCCTTTATTGCTACAGGGTGACCTTTTAAAGCAAGTTAGATGATATACAACATTTTTGTATTTCATCTTGATCTTAAAACATTGTTCAACATTATTAATGGGGGTGTCACTTCAGCACATCCAAGAATTTTTTACCTCCGTTGTTTCTCTGTAAGGCCTTCCTATTTTTTGGTTTTACTACAGGGTCTGTGCTATCCTTTAAACAGACACTGCAGGAGTTAAATCTTGTCACCAGACTACTATGAATACAGTATGAATCCCATAAAATAACTTAAAATTCCTTCCTTCTGTGTAATCAATCAATCAATCAAGTGTATTTACTAGACAGATCTTTTATAGCACTGAGGATTTTGATGTACTTGAGATGTTTTTACATTTTGTAAGTTCCTGAAGAAGCAAAATGTTCAAGTCAGCTTCACATTTTAGATTTGGAATGGCAAGTACACTTGAACAATACTACTACTACTACTTTATAATCTACATTATGATAGAAGATTAAAACCCATGGACGTCTTGATTTGCATGGTAACATTAATCTACTGGTTTAGTATATTATTTATAATAATATGTGTTAGCAATACACTGTATATTATTCTCATGTTGATATAGGAATTTCCAGCAAAGGCTACAACCAGCAACAACAATTCACCTCCCTGTCAGCTTTATAA